CTGACAGTTTTGCCACCTTTGGAAACATTTAAGGAAACATGTTTCCTCGTTTAGACAGGATCTAAGTCAAGCCCAGATGAACGAGGCTAGAAGTGATAAAAAAAATATATTCCAATTGGAATTGAAATCAATAGATGAACCCTTTCGTACCCAAGTAGCCCTACAGGGCCTACCAGTAATTATCCTCGGCAGGTTTGTGAAGTGTGGCTTAGATGACCACTTTAAATGGCGGTCCCGACTCTCCACGCTACATTAATACTAAACAATATCGGAGGGACGTAAAAGAACCACTGAGGACGTAAAGAAACCCTGGCAGTGACCACCTTCAGTGCCTACACCTGATACTAACCATCTCTCATGTTTGTAAATTGCATAAAAAGCAATGAAAAGCGCTTTTGAATTTATCCATACGTAAAGAGCGCTATATATATCATAAACCACTATCATTATATCTTCTCATGCACAACCGTCAAACAAAGAAAAAACACTCTAGGCAATGACATGTGATCTGTGATGAGAAAACATTACGTCCAAGATAAAGAGTTATATAGCTTTACTTGTCCACCATAAGAATTTAGGTAATAGATTTTTTGAAACTATAGAGCGTTTCCACGTGACGTCACAGCGGCCATTATGGGGTACCAATACAATACATTTTCTATCCTCCGCGAGAATTGAACTCTATTTTTATGCAAATACTGTGCAGAAAGTTTCTATTGTTTATGGCTGCCTTCTCAAGTGAGTAAAAACGCACTATATTAGATTAGGTCCTACGCACAAAGTACATCATCTGCTGCTATCTAGATTTTACGAACAGTTTCAGTTATTTTTTTTAAAGAAAATCTTGCTTCATAAAATATCTATTGTACTTTTTTCTAGATATTAAAAGTGCTTAGTATAAATTGACATGCAAATTTAACGCAACTGCAATAATAAAAAAAAATCTAAAATCTTTAATTCAGTCCAAAATCTTCCTCAAGACATTGTTTTGTTATTGCAGTTCAAGGAAGGCTGTTCCAGGATTTTACAGTTCTTGTAAGAAATGAGAATCTGTCAGTGGCGGGTTTTTGTAGCAGGATGCAACTAGCCTGCGTTTAGCAGATATAATTTGTCTCGAAATGACTGAGAGAAATTATACCGGCTTAATGCAGGCTAGTTGCGTCGGGAATAAATAGGCGCTGTACGTATTGTAGAGAGTTTCAGAATTTACGATAAACATGGAATGTCAGTTGATGACCAGTGAAATATTCTTTGAAATTCATTAGTGAAAAGGAATCAAAGAAATCTTTATGTATTACATAAACAAAAGAAAATATTTTGTTAGAAGGTTTTAAGAAGGTAAAGTGTAATGCAGGAAATGGATGGAAACTTCATATCTTTGCCATTTTGCGCGAAAAAAAATGTTAATCTAAAGCTCTCAATATTCCTTATTTTGTACAGCAGAATCAGTTAGTTTTAGTTATAATTATTTGTTATTATCGAGTATATGCTTCAGTGATTGCATTTCAAGAACACAGAGTCTTTCGGCGTAGGACATGTCCTCAGGATAGTTTAAAACAAACTTCGTGCAATGTTTAGCAGCCGGTGTATGGCGATCAACCCTGGGGGCTTACTCGAGCTGAGGTTTTACTAGCGAGCAAGACAAGTGTTTTCTTGTCGAAGGCAAGTTTCTTGTTTGTCTTAGCACACGTATCCTCGAAGTCATAACACCAAAAGGTCGCTTAAAATAATAACACCAAGGTCTTTGGTGTGTTTTGTACGTTCACTGCCAAAGTGGTACTGTTTAGCAAAAGCTTAAGATCTTTTTTCAATGTAAATAAATAAAATGAAAAACAAATATCTTTATTTAAGTGTCTAGTCGTTCTAGCACTTTCGCATTAATTGGGGACACTTTTCGCTCACACGCACTACCGACTACATTAAATGTTCTATGCACACAATGCTCAACTCAAATGTTGATTTTTACCGAGGGAGGAAACCGGAGAACCCGGAGAAAACCCTCGTAGCTTAGGAGAGAACAACACATCAAACAAACTCAATTCACATGTGACGACCGCAGGGCTCGAACCAGCGACCCGACCCGTTGGACTAACAGCGGTGAAAGACGACGCGTTAGCCGCGAACGCCACCCATGCTACCCAAAAATATATGTATATATAAAGAACTTCGCATTATTTATAAGTGTCTTGTTTTCCTTTGCACATATAATCCGCTGGATATGTGTTTACACATCGAAGTAGCTAACTATTCATTAAACCACAAATTTGAATTACAAGAATATTCTTTATTTGATTAAACACAAATTAATCATCAATTTAGAGTAACGTTAATTATCTAATATTTTTGATCCGAAAGATGATTCAAAACTAGCTTCATAGGTGAATGTTAGAGTGTTTGATATGATGACATAGTCCATTGACTCAACAGAGCGTACAATGAATTATAGTAGAGCAATATTTTTAAGATGCTATCATGCACACAACGGAAACGTGTTTTAGTGTCAAGTGCAATGATACATGCATAATCCACCATTATACTGATGACAGTATGGCGGAAAAATAGAAAGTTTAGTCGTCAAGTTCCTTCAAAGCTAGTGTCGAATATTTGTAGAATAGTGATCAGGTGTCCATGGAATTTTAAAATGTGTGTATAGTACGAGTTTTGTACTTTAACGTTGGGATTTGTGAATATGACTTTAACGCTTATAGATTCCTTGCATTTGACGTCAAAGGAGCTCAATTTGGCCCGGGGGACAAAACCCAAGAATGTCAAACTCCTGAGAATAGATGGGCGTACGATGACGTCATTTGTTTTGATCAAGAACATGAAATTCTTGGAAATTCAAGCAATAAACAAACAAACGTCAAAAGTAGCAAGATCCTATTGCTTTTGAAGATATCTGAGAATTTGAGGGTAAATCCCTTGATGGTTTTCAAGTTAACGCTATGAAATTTGCAAGATGTTGCCAACCAACCTACATTTACTGCAAAATTTAGCAACTTTAATTTATTATATGTCCTGAACTAATGAAGCAACTGCTCTCAAATTGATAAATATTAAATATATTTCTTAAGTCCAATCGTTTATGGCTCAAAAGTTGATTTTTGGAAATGTAAACATTACGCCCACCTATTGGAAACCTATTGTAATGACCTCCAAATTGAGCTGCATTCCAACGTGCTGCAAGGGGTCTATTCGAGGCTAACCTTGGGTAAAAGAGTCTGCAATCAAACTAAGGCACAAAATAAAATGGTTTAATTTCTTGTGTATTTCACTTTTGGTAATGAATGTTCTGGTTGAGTGATAGCAACTAGTAGTCACTAAATAGCTAGTATTTATCAGTATCAACTTTATTGTTTTTATTTCATGGTTTTACTACATGCGCCAGCTCTAGCAGATGAGAGATAGATGTATTTTTTTGAATTTTCACTATCAAATAACTATATTGTCGGACTCAGCTCAAATATTAATCCATATACGGTATTTAATATTGTATGACGTCATTGCATTCGTATATTGAGATGAGGCTACCATGCAATGAATAAAACAACTTTGGAATCATTTTACTACTCATAGCAGAAAGCTTAACACTAGCTTCACATGCTGAAGTACCTTGAAGGAATGTTTAGGAAGTAAATGTTTGATGGTGCTCGGGTTAAAAGCCACCCGACCATCCGGCATTTTATCCCACAATCAGGACGTTCTGTTTGTCACGACCTTTTTCTGGTTCGTGACAATTTCGTTGCTCACTCTTCCCCTCATCCTGAACAATACGTACAATATATAGTTTCCATACATGAGGACACGCGCTCAGTATAGAGTTGAAGGTCCACGGTCCACAAGGTAGTAACAATTTTCATTCCTTGCTAACATTGTACGATTTGAACAAATTCGTATCGTGGAAGCTGCATTGAGGTACACAAGAGAAGTTGTACGAATACCAGAAGAACTAGTTAACCATTTAACAGAACCGCTCGAGTCGTGCGCCTGGGTTCTTGGCAAGTTCTGTCTTAAGTGAGGTAAGGATATTGAGGCAAGCTTTAAACAACTACTAACCACAGCAAACAAGAAACAAACAAACAATGTTTTGGTGTTCTTCAAGTTATTCTGGCAATTGGTCTTCAGTTCTTTCTATTTTTGCTTTTCACCTACTTTGTTTTTGAATTGGTCAATAAATGCTATTTTTCTAATGGCAAACTAGGCTGGTCAAGATAAAGTAATCTGGTCTATTCTCAGAGTGGTCAAAATCCTACAATTTCAAGCTGTTGTTTTCCATTTTCTTTTATTAAAATAATATTTTTGATTGTCCGAATTTGTCCGGTTCAGATGGGAAGATAAATGTCGTTCTTTTTCAAGTTTTTCATCAAGTACTACTTTGGCTCGGCGGTGTCTTCAAATACCCAGATACTGAGCGACCAATATCCCAAAATCCGGTCTGAACAAGTCCTCTTATAATCTATATATAAATCTTAAAATATATGATATGTTCGATAAGCTAACTTTAGTTTAGCTCCAGTTGAATCCAATTCATTTGACTATTTTTGAGTATGTGAAAACAGGAAAACCCGTACCATAGAAAAAGGGAGGAAAAGATTTTTGAAGCATTTTATGACCTGGGATTTATTTCTAGTTTCTCTCTTGTTTTTCCCCCGGTACCGTTTTAAACGAAGCACAAGTTATTTTATCAGTTTTAAGGTTACTGGAGACCTTCAGGGGTATGTTTCTTTAGCAAAACCCGCAAATACTATATATCGTTTTAAAGGTCATATTATAAAGATTTCGAAAATACTATAATTGCAAAGTGATTTTATAATTTGAAACAATGCCGAGCCTTATAAGGTAATTTCCTCGAAAGAAATTTTGCCAATAACTTTGTCCTGAAACTTTGCATGGACATTAATTATGCTATGGACATTTAAAAACTGCAATAAAAAGATGGGGTCACCATTCTCGTTTTTTCGCCAGATGCTCTCCAAATATGTCAATTTTTGAGTTTTATAATGAAATGCGGTAGCAACCGGAAGCTGTAATCAAGAACCTTTATTCACCGTTAAAAGTACTTTCATATAACAAAACGTATTTATAACTAAATAATCTATACTATTAAATCCATCCAAGTCAATGAATAACTATGATTTTTGACTGAACTATTAGTGAAAAATACAGGTATGTGCGCACCTACGAACGTCCAAAAATTGAACTTGTCAACTATTCCCATCAAAATATTTCAAAACATATGCAATAATTCATATTTTCATATATAATGACGAGCATCGCATTTATCGAAAATCTGATCGAAATAAAGAATCGGGGTCACCATTCTCGTTTTTGATTTATTTTTCACTTTAGGCGGTAAAACATTAACCGGCATTGGAATCTTTCGACGTTCCAACTTTAAAATTCAATAACTTTTTAAAGAAACAAAATATCAAAAATCGCTCACACCTTTTCGTAGTTTATCTTTTGCTTATTCACACAGGGAATTCTTTTGGCTATACGAGCTAAATCCATGCCCATTAATTCACCTCTACTGAACGTGCCCGATTTGTGTTTAAGGCTCCGGCATTTTCCAAATTAAAAAATCGCTTTCAAATAATATTATTTTCTGAATCTTTATTACATTACCTTTAAACCAATATATAGTTTTATGGGGTTTTGTTTAAAGTGTTGTCAAGAGAGAGTCTTAAACGAAACATACCCCTGAACGTCTTCAGTAACCTTAATAGCACGAGGAGTAGCCGAGCAGTGAGGTTTGTACGTCACTGACATGCGAATCGAAGTCAGCCTAAAGTGAAGGCTCCCACAAGTTGAAGTCAGCATGCCAAAAGTCAAGACATGGGAACTAGTCGGTGAGATTTCGTGGTCCGTTCTTGATCGTACGTGAGAATGACCTTGATGAGGCTCTAAGTCTTCATCTAAACTTGGTTGCAACTGATGAAATCGCCAAACTACAGTCCTTTCAGTTTAACAAGCATAAGGAAGTGCACTGGGAGCCCAATATCTGAAAAGTGCAACTAGTTCCCACGAGTTCGCCAAAGGGCGGCGAGAAGCGGCGCCTTTCGCAAAAGCTCAAAAAAACAACAACAAGCAAACAAACAAACAAACAAACAAACAAAAACAACAACAACAACAACAAAAAAAACAAAAACAAAAACAAAACAAAAACAAAACAAAACAAAACGAAAAAACAAAGCAAAAAATAAAACAAAAAACCCAACAAAACAACAACAAACAAACAAACAAACAAAAACAAACAACGACGACAACAACAACACACGCCTGACAAAACGCCACCCATCTTTCATATTAAACCTAACTAGATAATAATTCTAATCAACATTTTCTCATAGATCCAACTTCAGCATGAGACTCTATTCCTCTATTGTCCTCATTCTCTTGAGCCTGACTCCATTGGTCTGGAGCCATGGGTACACAATCGACCCGGCCTCGAGAAACGCCTGTTGGAGAGTGTTCTCAGAAAGTTGTCCTGTTAATTATAATGATAACGAGCAGAACTGTGGAGGGAGAGATGTGCAGATTTCTCTTGGCGGCAAATGTGGTGTCTGTGGGGATAAGTACGGCGAAAATATTCATGTACACCCTGGAAAGTAAGTCAGTAAAATAAAAAAATTTAAGCACCCTCGTGTGAACACAGGGAGCCCAATTCATAAATTCATCACTACTTCGACGATGCGACGGCCATCTTTAATCACATAGCATTATGGGTCTACCCAGTGAGCAAAACAAAACAAAGATAGTGAAATGACGACACCAAGATCTTTGAGAAATTTGCTCCAGTACGGCAACTGTCCAACTTGTTAATTCATCTCTTGTAAAATTGTCACGTTGTAAACTGTTAATGAAAATCGACGCCATTACTGTAGCAAATCTTAGAAAATTTGCACTGTGGTGTCACTTTATCTCTTGAAATCACGAATTTCCAGGCCTCAAAATAATAACGTTGCTAATAACGTCGCTTGATAACAGTGACACAACATGTAATGATTTTGGTATTTTCATTCTAATGGCGGGCATGTCATTTTATATTTTGCGGTGGTCAATTTTTGAAGGCTTCATGACGCCTCAGTTTTGCAGTGACGTCATTTCTACGTCACTGTTTCAGATCAGCTGGTAATGATTCAAGGTGCCTGCCGCACCGTCGAAGTACGCTATTAACTTGGAACGCACTTTGATTTCGCTCTCATTTAGGTCTACGTAACTTTTGCCTTTTTATTTGAAGGTACGCAAAAGGTTTCATCACCAAGACTTACAAACGAGGACAAGAGATAACCGTTCAGGTCTGTTACCATTAAACCTTGTATTGGTTATGTTTGCGAAAATCGAAAAGGTCAAGTTATACATCGAATAGAAATATGGCGACCAATTTGAATAACTATCGTTCGGGACTGACTCGTGCCTCGTGATCACTGGGAAACATGTGAAAGTCTAGTCAGCGTAAGACAATAGTTATTCAAATTGGTCGCTTCGGTGTCATATAAATTAGCTTGTATTTATTAAAAGAAATATAAAACCTTTATTAAGTTTTTTTCTCTCTTTATAGATCCATATCACATCCAATCACAAAGGATGGTTTGAATTCCGAGTTGGTAAGATTGGCAATCCTCCTATCACCCAAGAGAAGCTCAGATACCTTCTGAAATCACCCCAAGGAAATACACGGTATCCACTGGGAGGTTCTGGGCCGAGCGACGAATATGTCAAGCTGATGCTCCCCCCTGGCTTGACATGTGATCACTGCGTGCTCCAGTGGTGGTGGAAGGTCGGTAACAGCTGGGGGTGTGATGACGAAGGGTGTGGCTTAGGACACGGCGACCAGGAGACGTTTGTCAACTGCGCCGACATTAAGATTACAAATACTACTACATCCCCCGGAACTACCATAACACCAGGGCCGACCACAAATACTACACTTCAACCGGTCACTACCCAAACACCTCCACGATCAACAACAGGAGACGGAGGAGTAACTCCAAATACTACTCCACCCCCCGGAACTACCATAACACCAGGGCCAACCACAAACACACCACCTAAACCGTTCACTACCCAAACTCCACCACAATCAACAACAGGAGACGGAGAAGTAACTCCAAATACTACTCCACCCCCCGGAACTACCATAACACCAGGGCCAACCACAAACACTACACTTCAACCGGCCACTACCAAAACACCTCCACAATCAACAACAGGAGACGGAGGAGTAACTTCAAATACTACTCCACCCCCCGGAACTACCATAACACCAGTGCCAACCACAAAAACACCGGCCACTACCCAAACTCCACCACAACCAACAACACAACGTCCAAGAGAGTGCAAGGCAGTCGGTGCATGGATAGGCCAATCGAGCGTCGATCAGTGGTGTGTTATCAACTGTGCAGCAGGGTTTTGTCCATCAGTAATTTGTATCTGTAATTAATAAAGTAATTCTGTGCCAACTGATATGTTTGGCTGTAATTAATCAATGTTAATTTTGGAAAATAATTAGATAAAGAATTTATAATAATAAGGATAAGAAAATAAATGTATTTGTATTGATACTTTTCTTAACTCGATCACTGGCGTAGGGAGGAAGGCACGAGGCAAATGTCTCCAATAAAATAATAATAATAAGGGAGAGAAGAGAAGAGAAGAGAAGAGAAGAGAAGAGAAGAGAAGAGAAGAGAATGTTTATATAACTGCTAAAAAATAACCTTTGAAGGTTCTAGCAAACAAATGAAAATTTGGCGCCAAAATTTTAATGCTCGTTCTGCGATCGATCAACATCGCGATTCAAAGCCAATCCGTAAAAGGGTCTTAAAAGTCTTGGGATTGGCCCCAAATCGCGCGCAGAGACAAAGAACAGCACCAAGAACAAACATGCAAAATCTGGTAAACTAACGACGAAAGTTACTATAGATATAAGACGATATAAAAATCCCTATACATTCCTTTGTAATAATCAAGAAATGTGAAAAAGAGAGAGAGAGGAAAAAACACGAACGGTCATGATAACCAATCACGTGAACAATCACGAGATAACACGTGAACAGTCAATAGCCCTCCGAAAATAGGCTGATACAAAAAGGGGGAAAAACGTCAATACGTGTCACTGAAAAAAACAAGTTTGACATTAGGTTAAAGAATAGCTGTCCTAACAGTACGAATTCTGTAAATAAGAATACCTGTTATAGATTCTTTTCGTCGAAGCAGTACGGATTTTGAGTGTTTGAACACCAGTCAAAAGATTCTCAAAACTGGTTTTGACTCTTTGCTTTGTTTCTATCCACCTGTCCTAACATCAACTCTTGTTTGATTTCAACGTCAATTGATGGGTTGCCAGCATTCCTAAGAGAGTCAAAAGACAAAAACATGGCGGCCATTGTGGTACCTTTAACAATGGATGGTAATAAGAAATCTTTTGTTAAATGGCACCAACGCTCCCCCGAGAGGCCGCGATGACGTAACGTGCAATAGAATAGAAAGTACTCAAATCTAGGTGCTTTACCTGTAGGTTCCAACATGGCAAGCTGTGCTAACATTTACACCTATCGGTAAAGAATCGCCGGGCAGTATTCAATTTTCATCGATATTTTGACACAACCTCCGGGCATTGGTAACGGAACAAAATGGAATAGACAACTTTTGATATTCTGGTTGAGTGATCAAGCAAGAAAAAAACCGAGTCCTTTCTCCGGGGAAAGAAAAAAGAAAGAAAGAAAGAAAGGACAAAAGAAAAAAACAAGAAAAAAGAAAACTATTGTTTCCCCCGGAGCTTCGACTTTTCTGCTTGACCACTTATTCACAATATGGAAAGTTGCGTATTTATGTTGTAAGGGTTTTTGGTAGTGCGTGGTTGGGATGTGGAGTGTGGTATTGTTGTGTGTGAGTTAGAGGAAGAGCTAGAGATGGTATTGGGTATTAAGTACAGGGAGAGGTATGTAGACCCCTCAGAACAATTCCTCTCGGGACTCAGTACAATAGGTCTATACTACCCGATAAAAACCATTCATCTAGTCTACTTCCACTATCTTTCATTAAAAAAATAACTGTCACAAATCTCGCGTTTTGATTGGTTGGAAGCGCGTGCTTTATAAGAGCACACACAGCACACGCGCGCACTTTTGATTGCGTCATTCCTATCTAAAATAATGGATATTGTAAGTCGTATTTTATATATATACAAAGAAATTAAAAAAAATTTGCTTCTGTGCTGTGTGCAGTTATAAAGTACCTGGGGATTGGCAGAACACTCGAGAAGTGTCGAAAAGCACTCCGCTACGCGACGTGCTTCTCCTAACACTTCTCTCGCGTTCTGCCAATACCTACGTGCTCATACATATAACTGCACGCTCGCGCTTTCTATTTCTTCACCAACATAAAAAATGAAGGGGGAGGGGGATCAAACTCCCTGCATTATAAAATTGTAACACGCATCTATTCTGCCCCAACAACGTCAACGCTACCGTTCTCTAACACACCAAACAACACTTACGCTATGTTTGCATTTTTGACGCATCGATAAACAGAAAACCCCCTTTCTTTGTACTGCCCTTGAAATAACAAACACAACAGTAACAGCTGAAAGAAACCGTTCCGCCTGGAGATGAGATATAAGAGAAAGTCCTTAGAGCTGTCCCCGAATTAGTTTGATCCCAAAATGGCGGTTAATCTAAGCGGCACCGGCGTAGTTCTCGTGAGCTTGATTGCTTCAGTCTGGGGTCATGGATATATGATAGATCCCCCATCTAGGAATGCATGCTACAAAGTGTTCCCTGGTAAATGTCCTCCTAATTTTACCGCAAACGAGCTGAATTGTGGAGGCAGAGCTACTCAGATCGGGAATTCAGGGAAATGTGGTGTATGTGGTGATCGGTATGGTACAGCTCGTCACATTTACCCTGGAAAGTAAGTACAATATACTCATATCAGAAGGTAAAAATATCGCACGTGCTCACTAGTTTTTCTTCAATTTCTTGAGCGCGTGAAGGACTAAAAAAATCATTATCGGAAAGAGTTTCATAAAAGCATGATAGAAAGTAGTTCTGAGGTTAGTGAATCAGGACTAAAAGATAGCGCGGCATGCAGTGATTCATCACCTTCTATAGGCCGTACAAATCGCGGCTTCTGTATTGTGATTGAATCAACTAGGTTTCTCTTGATACGATGGAGCTAGCTATTTTCACCAAGTTACTAGATCCCATCTATGTAATAGTAATAATAATATAAAGTTCTTAACAAACGCATCATACAACGTCTCGATGCTTTTTACAAAAGGACCAGACCGATATCAAGTTTGTGGAAAAAATTTGCAAATAAAGTCAGTTACTCCTGGTGAACAGGTGTTTTAGTGCAGGTTTAAACTCTGGAACTGAACTTGACTACTTAATTGCATCAGGGAGATTGTTCCAGAGTGCCGGTGCAGCCAAAGCGAAGGTTCTATGTGTAGACAATAGATAGGAATCAGGTATGACTTGACTATACTAATCATTTCCCCATAGTCTTCATGTTAGTTTTTAAGGATTTACATTTCCTCATCAAAAACAAGAAGATTTGCCCTTACACGCGAATTTTCTCGCGGGAATTATTCCCGGGATATTATTATGTAGGAAAGTTAACTTTATGCAAAAACCTGTTTTACAGGTACGCAACAGGTTTTATCACCAAGACATATAAAGTAGGCCAAGAAATAACTGCTAAGGTAGGAAAAAATGATGCAACAATCTGTGACCTTCTGATGATGAAAACTTATACACCTATTTCACAAACTTTGTCATCACCAAAGGCGATAGGCGATAGGTCATTCCGACATGGAAATGGTTTTTTTCTTTTACTCATCATAAACGAACAAAAGAAAGTTTTAGAGTGTATAATATTTTCGAAATCAATCGATGTCAGCTAGTAATACTTCAGGATTGTACACCACTTTTACAGTGACTTTTATTTTTGTTACCTTGTTATTGCAAATGGATGTTTTTGTTATTGGACATTTAAGATATATCACGGCCTATTTCAATAAACGTTGTCATGTATCGCCAAAGGCGATAGGCGATAGGTTATTATGGCATGTAAATGGTTTCGTTGAATACAAACAACATTGAATCAGTTTCAAGACTAAGGTCCATGTTCTTGACGAGAATAAGAAGCAGAAACACAAGTCATTCCAGCTATTGTTTGGATCTTAGAATGACCTATTTTTTATCGCTTTTCGCCCACTGCCTATTGCTTATTGCTTTTGGTGATAAAAGCGTTTTTTGAAATAGGTATATCCAAAAAGGTTATATTTCACCATCCCTTTTATTATCACATCATATTTTTACCATCACTCACGTAAGGTGCTCTTCCGTGAGGTTCGCTCTATACGCTCTACCACCACATTCATTATTTAGAACACACAACAGTGGCGGATCCAGGATTTTTCAAAGGGGGGTTCCGTTTCTTAAACTGTCTATAATTCTCTTTTGTTTAGTCGATGTTTGACAAAAAAATTGGCTCTAATCGCCTGATTTGCTATCTAGTAAGGGACCAAGCTATAATAACACGACCCAAAGCAAAACTACTACTATTTTTTTATTAAAATTTATATAAGACATATTAATATTATCTAAAAGATCAAACCTTCAAGGGGGTTCCGCGGACCCCTTCGACCCCCCCTGGATCCGCCACTGCACAACACTCAACTCATAAGTTGATTCTTACGAGAGAGAAAAACGCGGAGAACCTGGAGTAAAACTCTTGTAGCAAGCGAAAGATTGACACATCAAACAAACTCAACTCGGATCACGTCTGCGGTTTAGTCGAGCTTCGAACTCGGGACCCAAATCTTGAATTGCGGTGAGTGACAGCATCTAGCAGCGCACGCCACGAAAATATTCTTGTTGACAAAAATGTGTGTCTAATATAATAGTTATATGATAGGCAGGCGAAAATCGTTTGCTTTATTCCAATTCAAGTGGCATGGTGACTAAAGTTGTGATTTAGAGTACCCGTAATTTTGTTCTTTTAAATTTGATAATTTGAAAGATAGAGCAAGTAGAACAAGGCCCTATTTCTTAGTATCAATCAGCTGAATGAATCTTATAGATCTCATAACCAACCTTCAATGAGGGCCAAAACTCCCCCTATCTATGTGCAATTATCCATGTACATTTTAAAAAAAAACGCGTCATTCACAGTCGTTAAAAATTTTCGAACCAGACCGAATGACGTCTATTGATAGCGACCTATATAACACATTTATTTTCATGTGACTATTAGATCCACATCACAGCCAATCACAAAGGATGGTTTGAGTTCAGAGTTGGTGAGATTGGAACCCCACCCATCACCCAAGCCAAGCTGACACATCTACTGAAAACTACCGATGGTCGAACGAGGATCCCTCTCAGGGGATCTGGCAATAGCTATGAGACCATCAAGCTACGACTCCCGTCCGGCTTGACATGTAGTCACTGCGTGCTTCAGTGGTGGTGGAAGGTCGGTAACACCTGGGGTTGTGATGACAAGGGCTGTGGCTTAGGACACGGACCACAGGAGACATTCGTCAACTGCGCTGATGTACAGATTACCTCTGGTAGTGGAATTGTCCCACCACCACCTCCCACTGAAGCTCCTCCCCCTCCTACTGCGGCTCCTCCTCCGCCCACTGAAGCTCCTCCCCCACCGAATACACCCCCACCACCGAATACACCCCCACCACCGAATACACCCCCACCACCGGATACACCTCCACCACCGAATACACCCCCACCACCACCACCACCACCACCACCAACTAATCCACCAAATCCAGGGGGGTGCAAGGCTACAGGTGCATGGACCGGTAACGCATCCATTGATAGCTGGTGTCAAAGTAATTGTGCAGCTGGATACTGCCCTTCACACATGTGTGTTTGTAGCTAAAGCATTAGTAATTCTTCAGTTATCCTTGTTACTCGTTACTTGTAGAACAAAGGAGCAGTTAAAACAAATAAAAAACCACTGGTATTAGATCTTGAGACGGGTTGTAAAAATTTCTTTAATGTAGTTCAAAAAAATTTATATAAGACATATTTCTTTTACCTAAAAGATCAAACCTTCAAGGGGGGGTTTCGTGGACCCCTTCGACCCCCCCTGGATCCGCCACTGGGCTGTAAGATGCACAGAAAACATCGCTTTGGGAACTAACATTTAAGGCAAGAACAACAGCAATTTGTATGAAGTCAAAGATGGATCAAGAAGTAATCTTCCTTTAATAAGTGTTTTAGTGCAAAATTCGACTCTGATCGGCAAATCAAAGAAGGATTTGTTTTAACGAAAATGAAATAAAATTGGTCGTGAAAACTTAAAAGAAAATCCAAAATCTTCTCCGGACCACTTTTTCCCTTTTTGAGGTCAAAATTTGGTAAAAAAAGATGTTTTATTAGATACATAACTTTACATATATATTTTATTAGAACACAACTAGTCGATTATTCCAAACGAGATTCAGATAAAATCTATAAAAAAAGTTTTAAATCGACCCTTTTGCTTTCACCATATTTTTGGACTTCGTGCAAGCTAAAACAATAGATGAACGTCAAAGATTGTACTGTAAGCTCCTCTTTTAGGAAGTGTCTAACTTTATATGTCATTCCCTCTAAACTCTCAACTTTTACGAACACTATATTTTTGGACTTCTTGCAAGCTAAAGCAATAGATGAACGTCAAAGATTGTACTGGAAGCTCCTCTTTTAGGCAGTGTCTAACTTTATATGTCAGTCCCTCTAATAAACTCTCGACTTTTACGAACACTCCTGATAGATTATCATAAACAGCACTTATTCTTTTATTCACATAAATTATTCAAACTGAAAAATCTTTTCTACTACCTTTCTAAATTTTTTTTACATTTTAACAGATCAGAACAAGATATATAAAGCAAAGCTTTGTCGGTTTTTCTCTTTTTTAAAAATTGCGAGGTCGATTTTTATAGGGCTACCAAATTAGCTCAATTTGATCAAACCATTCACAGGTCTGACTAAAATAACTTTCTTTGGTTTTTCTCCCTCCGTGAGAATCAACATTTGAATTGAGTGTGGTTTGCTTAGCGGAATATTGAATGTAGTGCTGGTAGTGTGTGTGCGGAGTGGAAAAGTGTCCCCAACTAGAGGGTGTTAAGGGGGTACGTACCCAATTTTCAGTTAACTACTAATTTTTCGGCCGAATGTCAGTTAAATGTAATAATATTACCCCATTGGCCTCCTCTAATTAGTGAGAAAGCACTAGAACGATTAGCCACTATTAAATAAAGAGTTTATTTTCTTATTTTTTCATAATATTTTTGTTTGTTATTCTGTTATTTTGGTCGTTAATCTGTTGTTTAACTTCCAAGATTCAAACACGAATTTATACAAGAAATAAACCTATAAAACTTATAACTTCCTCTTAACGTCGGGAGTTGTTATTGTTTTGTCTGAACAGACTAAAATAGCAAACCATGTTACTTAGCAACTCCTTTTGTTATTGGACATTTAAGATATATCACGACCTATTTCAATAAACGTTGTCATGTATCGCCAAAGGCGATAGGCGATAGGTTATTATGGCATGTAAATGGTTTCTTTGAATACAAAGAACATTGAATCAGTCTCAACACTAAGGTCCATGTTATTGACGAGAATAAGAAGCAGAAACACAAGCCATTCCAGCTATTCTTGGATCTTAGAATGACCTATCTCCTATTGCTTTTCGCCAATCTCTTATTGCCTATCGCCTTTAGTGGCGATGACAACTTACTTTTGAAATAAGTATACGAGATTTAAAAAGACGCAATATGAATGGAAATTTATGCAAGGGCGCATACAGGGGGGAAGGGGGGGGGGGGGGGTGACTAATTAACCCCCTTGACATATTATTGGAATATTTAGAAATTGAAAGGGGAGACATTTACGACCTAATATCAAATCAGGAGGAAGAATATGTCCTTTATGCGAACAAGAAATTAAAGATGAAAAACACTTTCTTTTAAAGTGTCCCTCCTCAGGCTCAAACAAACGAAAAGAACTACAACAAAAAATTAACACAATAACAAACAAACAATTTGAACTCTTATATGAAAACGTTAAAGTCCATTTTCTTATCAACCCGAATAAAAAAGTCCAAAAAATTGTAGCAAAATACATATATGAATGTCAAGAAGCTAGAAGGGCAATGTTGCCACAGACAAAATAGATAGAAAGCTTGAATTACGACAAACTATCTAAAATACATCAATTAACACTTATTTACTGGGACCGATGCGAGGGAAACAGTATTTTTTGTGGTTCCGAGACGAGGGACCACAAAGCATACTGCTTTCCCGAGGTCCCAGTAAATAAGTGCTTTCTTATCACAACAAGTGTCAAAGAGAACAAGAAAATCGAGAAGACTCCATGTTTAATCTGAAGTTTCGTGAAAGAAAACGTGTGAATGAATTTTGCAAACGCGCGCTCTAATGTGTTGCTTTCTGGTTTCCGGTTTTTATATATTTTCAATTTCAATTTTCAATCAAAAATCCGGTTTTGTTATTCCCGGTCCATAACATAATATTCCTCTCCCAGAATGGTCGCCAGGAAACAGTCGAGTTTCTTCACGTTCACGTGACACACTCTCGACCAATAGAAATTAAGGAAAATTGAACTTTGACACTTGGTATATATAATGTATTTTGCTACTTTTCAGAAATTGAAAAAATATATTTTATATTTTCTGATCATTTTGAAAAAACACCTAGCTATGTAATTTTAGTATACAGTGCCAAATAAATCATTGATGTTGTTGTTATAATAAGAATAAAAGATAAGGCAAGACCTAGAAAGAACGTTATGTGATGCATGTCTAGGTAACAGTCACCCCCTTGAAATCGTTCTGCATCCGCCTCTGGAATAGAATTATTTTTATTGACGTTTTGTTTAATCTAATCGATCTTAATAGACGCGGTCTATCTTTGTCCCATACACAGATGGCATATATTATCTATAAATAAGAAAGATTCACGAAAAAAGTCCAGTTTCGAACGCCTACGAGGCTAACTAAGGCTGTACTAAAAGGCATAAAATGGGCAATAATTTTTAGTTTTGTTCACATCTATCATCCGTGATATACCTTGAGTAAAACGCTTGATAATTGAAAAAGACTTGAGCAACTAACGACGACGAAGATGATGAAGAATCATACCATCATGCTTGTTGTCCTTCTTGGCATGGATTTTCTAGTTAATGGTCTGTCACTGAATAATCTGGAGGTATGTAAGTTTAAAACTAGTCAAAAACTGAATTGAGATGGTATAAAAATTGAACTGAGTGGAGTACAATTTGGCCTGAAATCAAGCGCGTGATGTTTGTACGACCGCGTATCGGTCAATTAAAAAGCAATATATCCATTAAAAAAAAAAAAAAAGAAAAAAAAAGAAGACAAACTAGTAAGAGTATTTTCATAGGTTCATGCCTTATTATCTTATTATTAACCGTTTAACCGCTTTAACTGTTGTTGTTGTTGTTGTTGTGGTAATCGTCATAGCCTTTCATTTAGGTAGAGCCTAAATATTGAACATCGTGTATTTTTGCCACTTTCTAGGACGAGAAAATAATGGATTTCGACGCAGGTAAGTATATGTTTTTATTGTTGTCTGTGGTCAATGAGAGAAAAGAAATAGACCTATTTACCCTAGACATGATGTTTCCCCATTTCAGACCACGTGTCATTCTCTCGATCATGAGATTCTGATTCGCGCTTTTGTAAATAGTTGTCGTTTAATTTTACAACTTCGCCCGCGTTTTTAAGTTGGTTAGCTCACTCTGTTTTTCATTGCGCGGGTAATATCTCTTTTGTAAATAGTCGTCGTTCATTTGTGTAACCACTCCTTGATGATAGCTTGATCCGGCTCGATGAGCCTAAAGCTTGGATATTAAATATTAGCACATACCAACTTGTGTACTTTCTAAGAACGCGCGCGCTCATTGGTTAATTGGAGGTGAATATTGTACGATATTCACCTCTGAATCTCGGAATATTGAATCGGCAACAAAATGGCATCTGGCGGCAATCGTTTTTCTACAATTTCCGATGAGGAAATTGAAAAAATGAAAGTAAATGCCATTCCTATCAATACTAAAAACGCAACGAAGTATGGCCTAAAAGGTTTGCTAAAAGTTTTGCTAAACGTTTTGCTTGAATTTGTCACGCAAACTAAAAGTTTCTGTTTGTTTGTTTTTATTGAATTATTGTATATAAATATAAGTTACTCTGTACAGGTTGGTATATGCTAAAACAATTATTCGCTTCAGGCTCAGGCTCGCGTCTCGGTAAATATTGCCCGATATTCACTACGCCTTCGGCGAATAATTGTTAAATATATAGCATTGACGAAGCATTGATCCATTGATATGCGATTCTTTGTTTGAGTTGTAACCATTAGTCATGTGCATGTAAAACCGTTAAACAAAAAACAAACAAACAAAAAAAACAAAAACAACAAAAAAACAACAAAAAAAACCAACAAAACAAAACAAAACAAAACAAAACAA